CTCTCCTTTTATTCAGGATATCAGAGGAAGGGGCAGGAGCGGGGAAGAGAGTTCAGTCACCTCAGCTCAGAGCGGATGCTTCAGTAAGCTCCTGGTGATGGAGCTCAGTCTGAGAGCTGAGCCCACATCCCAGCCAGCGGCCATGAGACCCCACGCAGCTATAGATAGCCCCTCAGAACTGCCTTCCGTGACTTGTTACTACCAAGTGGGAGCGTGGACTCCTGGAAGATCCCTAAAGTGAATGCAAAAGCATGAGGGCTCCAGAAGCATGCCTTTGGCTGAACTTTAAACATCAGAGAAATAGTTGCAATGTCCCAGAAGAGAGAAATGTGCTGATCTTCCCGTTTTAACCTATCTCACATGCTGTGATTTCTCAAGGCGGTTGCATGAAAATCATATTTCTCCTCTTAAGAAATCGGTGGGCTCCTGCTGCTTGTTTCCCGGTGGCAGACCTTGTGACCTGACATGTGGACACCTGGGTGAGCCGCTGTGGCGGGAGCATTTGGCGCCGGCACAGAAAGCTGCTCCCACACAGGCCATCGGCACCCGGTGCAGGGAGGGGCCCCACAGCTCCTGCTGCCACAGAAATCACTCAGAATCAGACTGCCCCCGCCACCCCACCCCAGCAGCCCAACCACCCCAAACAGGAGCACCTCGGAGCTCAGAGGCCTCCAGAAAAGGGGTGTCCACCATTCACTCTCTCTGAGGTTGAGACATTAAAATAAAGCACTTCCGTGAGCGTGTACTAGGCCCAGAAAAGAGGTTTCTGGGAGGAGGGTGACTTATACAAGACATACTGGTACTGCCATAAGAAATGAATAAATAAAGTACTGTTAGGTTCTCATATAAACTCAAACTGTATTTAAGAACCTGTTTCCCCCCATATCTCGTCCACAGTGGAGACAGAGGCCAGCCACTTGCTATCTGGGGGAGGAAACTCGAGAATTTGCAGTTATTGTCCATTGTCCTCATACTACCTCTACCTCTCCCATGCTAGTTATACACAGTTCCGTATCTCCGAACCTATTAGGAGCACTGTTCGCTGTAAGATCTATGACAAGTCAGTTGTTGTGCTTCGTTGGGGAAGCTACAGAGGGTGATCTCAAGATCCCTGGCAACTGTACCCGGTCAGGGTTCAGTGGCTCCAGCAGTCCTTAATACTCTGAGAAGTGGTGGTTACTGCTTTGTGGAAATTGTTGAGCCACACCGGGATGGTAATTTTCAGATGAGGTTGGGGTATAATCAGATCTCTTTAATAAGATTGGACTGAGGAATGTGGATCAGGAATGCAACGCGATGTGGGTGGGAAAGCGTAATCAGAGGGCAGCGATGGCACAGCCTCGGCCCACGGACAAGATTAGGCAAATTCCCGACACTGGATGAATGATCAGCTGCCATAGGAAATATGACTCTTCCCTGAAGAGCTGCCTATCATCTGTTTGGCAGGAGCCTCCGGGGAGTGACGCCAATGGTTTGCTCAGTCCCTGGGTGAGTCAGCACTGACTCGGGTGTTGACAAGCGTGGGAACAGAGACTGACAAGGTGAAGGCTCGGGTCTGTTAGGCTGTTGATCGCCCGGACACACATTCCAGAAGGCTTGCTGTAGACACCCATGAACAAAATGTCCTAAAACTAACCCTTGAGCCCTCGCTTGCAAAGCCTGAAGTGAAGGACAACGTAAGGGTGGTTCCGCCCACCCCGGATGGAGTCACGGGCAGCTGCAGGCACCGCCAAGAAAAGGACACCGGAAATTCCCAGGAGATAAGCAAGTGCGAAGCAAAGAAGCACCGCATCTTTGGCATTTTCTTTCAAAAGTCAGGGCTCAGGGTTCGGGGAGTATCCCATCTGATGAGAACTATCCTGGACAGGCCTCTCACCCTCCCTGCGCAGTGGGGGAGGGTCCCTGGGTTGCCTCTGAGGAGCTCCGTTGAGCAGCCTGGCAGCTTCCCCAGGTTCTCTCCAATCCGCTGGGTCCCCCAGGCACCAGGTGATCTCAGAGCTCATAAAGCAACAGGGTCAGAGCACTGAAGACCTGGAGTCCCCTTCCCAATTCTCACGCATGTGAAAAACTTCACTGGGAGAGTTTGTAAACACAAATGTTATTATGTATAAAAGGTCGTTCAAAAGATATTTAAAAAAAATAAACTCCTACATACTCAGTCCTATTTCTCCGAAGACCCATTTTTAAATAGTTCTGATTGTAGGTCTTCTACATCATAGCACTAATCCATATGTGTGTGCCTGTGTTTCTAGCCTTATCAGCTTCAAATAATAGTTTCCTACCATGAAAGGTGTGTGTATTTATGCACTTCCCTTCCTCTCAGCTATCTGCATTTCACCTTCCTGTTCTTAGGAGTTACAGTGACATTGTAAGATCTCTAATTTTAAGGTGTCTAATGGTTACGGGCATAATTTTAATATGCATAAATTCTTATCATGAGCTTCTAACATTATCAACCCGCTCCCCATTCTGTACAATGAGGAAAGCAGCTCACGGCCTATAACCTTGGCCCCCCACCCTTTCCTCTTCCCCGCTTGTCTGCTGACTAATATCATCCAGGCTTGTAACCTTTTGCACTCTGTTCCATAATTTTAAGTTCTTTTTCTGTACTTTGTCTATAGCTTGACTTAAAAAATTGAAAACCAATAAGACACATTCATAATATGTAAATAGTAATTGCAGAATCAAGACCCATAAAGATGGAAGTGTGATTTTGTTACCAAAAATATGCGTTCAAAAAATGCTTGAAAAACGGGTTCCCTTTACTTCCACGCCTGTTTTTCTAAGTCATGTCACATTTCGATTTGCTTCATCTTATCATGACTTCAGAATAGTTTTTTCTTTCCTTTATTGTAATGAATAGAATAAACATACGTGTGCCTTTTTACATATCTTTCAGATTATTAAACGTATTTTTTCAATCAATGTTTTTTAATCACCACCTCCTGTCTTCCCTGTTCTAATTTGGGCCAATTGTTTCCTAGGCCTGTTTTACAGCTAACAACTTGAAATTTCTTTTCACTTTATTTCTGAGGCAGTTTTTTTTTTCTGTTTATTAGATTATTTTTCCTGCATCCCTAAGTCATACCAGGGAGAGTAAATAGGAGAAAGTTTCTGGGTCATTAGATACCTTACTTTGCATTCATCCTTAAGTAACAGGTTGCTGGCTATAAATTTAGGTTCAAAATAATTTTCTCTGAGAATTTTAAGTCTTGCTCCACTGTCTTCTAACACCAATACTATTGATGCAAAGAGTGATGACACTTTTTTTCAGGTATTCTGTTAATTCTCTTCACAAGCTTTATACTAGGATTTTTTTTTTTTTATTTCAACAGAATAGTTTTTGGCACATGTGAATATTTTCCATCTGAAAATACTTTTTTAGTTCAGGTAAATTATCTTTTCTTATTTACTTGATTCTTCATCTCTGTTCTGTCATCTTGGATTAATAGCTTTCTATATCTATCCTCCATCTCAACTTCTTTCTGATAGTTTTTCTTTCTGTCATTCTCTAAGTTCTGAGCTATTTTCTCAATTTGATCTTCTCTATTACTTATTTAGTTTTCAGCCATATTAATGATTCAATCTATTGATTTTTAAAAATCATTTGAAGAACCAACGTTCAATATTTCAAGGGCTCTTTCATGTTCCGTCTTGCTCCATTCCTAGTAGTCTACTCTTCTATATGGACACATCGTCCCCTCAAATCTCTCTGAGGAGTAATTCAGGGTTCGATTCCGGTCAAGGGCACGTTGCAGGCTCCGCCCTGGCCTGGGCCCTGGTCAGGGCTTGTGCAGGAGGCAACCAGTTGATGTGTTTCTCTCACATTGATTCTCTCTGTCTTTCCCTCTCTCTTCCGCTCTCCCTAAAAATCAATGAAAACATATCCTTGAATGAGGATTAACAACAACAAAAAAAGAATGAAGATGAAGATTCTTAGATAGGAAAGGAAGAAGGAGAGCTCTAGATGGGTAAAAAGGTATTTACAAAGGAGAGTAGCTGTGAAGTCACATCATGCATGTGATGCATTTACAGTAGTTTAGTTTATCTGTTATTGGTGGATGTGGGGTTCTTGAGGTGGAATAAACATTTCAGCTTATATGGTAAAAAACTTTATTTCCATGGAATTATTCCCCTGAGTTTCCAAAGTCACATTTCCTTTACTTTTTTTCTTGATCTTTAAG